TCTCTTGTTTAACTTATTGTGGCCACAGGCTTATTGCTGATGGGGGCTTCTGCTTGGACTTCCTACCTCAGCACTCATCACCAGCATTATTCCTCCCATCTCCCTGATATTGTCTCATTATTGCATTACAGAGGCAGGGGCTTCAATAGCTTGAGGAAGACTGGGTCTGTGTCCAAGTGACCCTCCCTGAGGACTTAACCCACACATCCCACTTTGCTGCTGCATGATGGATGAAGGACAGGCACTGGGAGGGGGAGGGGGTAGTGGGAGCGGAATCCCTTATTACCTTGTGATTCATTTTTAATGAGGTAAACAGGTCTTTCCAGGTCACCTGAAAGCTCACACACACCCATGGAAGGTAGTGTGTCTTTGCCATCAGCTGCCTTATTGCTGCCCGCTTTGACATCCTCCATGGCTGCGGGGGCTCCATAGTATAATTAGGTCTCACTGTCATTGACAGAACACGTCTCACTTCCCACAGAGTCCCTTTCCTTTCCTTCAACTTAGATGCCACCAATTATACAGTGGCAAGAAGACCTTATTATAAGCTGCAGGCAACCTTTGCCTCACTTTTACTCTTGCTCCCTCCAGATTAAGTTATACAGTACACTGTGAATAGTGCTGCCACAATTGAGTTACTGTCTATTGTTTTATAAATGATTTCATTGTATGTCGCGGCTCATAAGTTGAATTCTAAATAGATTGTAGTAGTACCTGTTTTTTAAAAATAGCCTGTCTTTTAGTAGTCTCTGGTGACATTTCAAACCTTATATAGCATCAAGGCAGTAACATTCAGTGCAGGTAGCTGCTCTCTCTATTTGCTTGGCATGATATTGTAGCATTTTTTTCATCTCTATATATGTTAAATGACAGCCGATAAAACTGAACACTGTTGTGCTCTAATGGAAATAAAATAGGCTCCCTCAAGCAGACGTCTGGTTCCACAGCAGCAGAAATTGGATGACAGGCGAGGATGCACATACGGGGTGTCATCTGGGAAATCAAACCCACTCAGTTCACTTGCTCTCAAAGTCGGTGAACAGGTATACCTTTGCAAAACAAGGAGGTGGAGAACTCCCACAGCAATTCTCTGCAAAGCCTGGCGAGGCTGTGAAGGGAGGAGAGTGAAAGAGAGAGGGAGAGAGTGCGACAGGAAGGTGAGAACAGGAACAGATGGAGAGATGCAGAGAACCTGCATTTACAGTAATTTAAAACAGGTGCTATACATAGCCAAGCTTTCAGCCCATCATCTCATCTAAATGATATCATTACAGGCAGAAGTCATTAAAAAAAAGATCTTTCCCCCTGGACTGTATAGATTCTCTGTCTCGCTCTCTAGGGAGTGATGTTGAAAATGAATTTAGGGCCCCTCAAGTCTTTGAATTTACTTTTTACCATCTGATAGCCGTGCTACATGTGTGCCATTGTGCTATATACAGGATTAGAGCGGATCTTTTCTGCCTGACTGGCTATCGGCTCTCAGCAACAAGATGAGGATCATTTCCCCTACTGAGAAAGCTCTACTCAGCCTAGATGAAGCCCTCCGCACACACACACACACACACACACACACACACACACTTTCTGTTCAGTATGGATCTTCACTCACATAGCACCAGTGTTTATGAACATGTGGGGGATTTGAGAGATTGGAAAAGCATATTTCCCTGAAGGCTGTTTCACAGAAGTTAGAAAAAAAGATATATTTATCTAGCTTCAAACCGATTTCTTTGCATTAAAGTTTGCTCAACAAATTTCAGTGGCATCAAGCAAAAAAAAAAAACCTACCCATTTATTAAAAGGCTAACTGGATACAAGTCGGCTAACACAGAATTCTCCTGATCTCTTTGTTTATGAGACATTTCTGCCTATTTACATTCAATACTGGAGGCAGAATGGCTTTAAACTGCAACCAGCATATATTTGGTACCCACACCCAGCTGTAATCAAGAGATGGTTAGTGTGGTTAGTATTGTTTGATCTAGTGTGTCAGGTTTCCACTTGGCTCACTGCCGGAGCAGTTGAATAGATGAGTCAGTGGAAAAGAAGCCATCATTCAGCTAACCTGTCAGCATCATCATCAGCTCAGTTTGTTGGACTTCAGACATTCACAAGATGACTTATATCAGTAACAGCCAAACAAGTCCAGAGAGGCAATTTCCAGAACATGACTCAAACTCAAAGGTCCTAACACTTAAGATTTTCATTAAATCAGCGTCACTTTTGATGCCATTTGTGGCTGCCATTTTGTCACCTATCACCATTCTGTGAGTTTGCATCCTATCCTTTATTGTAGTAGGTCTCCTTCTTGCTAAATCCAGCCTTCCCATTTGCATAACCACACACAAAGGATTAGCAGGCGCAGATTCCGATTCTGTTCTTGAGTTTAAGAGACTGTGGGATAAATTTTCCTGCCAGCACAATTTCTGTCACCTCATTCACAGTCGTTATGCTATTTTCCTTGGGCACATGTCTACTTTTCTGTGCATTGCTGTGTCTGGTATTTTCCTACCATGAATGAATGCACTTATGCGGTGGTAGGAGAGGCACACTTGAGGCTGTGTGTATGCTGATTAGGCAGCACAGTGCTCATTTTGACCCAAAATAGCAATAACAATAACACCCGCCTCTTATTACATTTACAATTTTCCTGACAAGAGTGTAGGCTGGGAAGCACGAGATCAGGTACACACATGTATATTAATGGTCACACCAACTGGAAATGAGCCCTTAAATCCACAACCGATCTGCTGGAATTCACTCTGAATAATTTATGGTGTATCATGAAATATGTGTGACAATTTAGAAAGATTAATTTTAGATAAGATAAACTAGTTCTCAGTATGTGGCTATAGATGGTGGTAAGTGAAACCTAAGTAATTCTAGTAGCAGAAATCAAAACATATTCATTATATACTGTATACAGGTATAGGTTAGCTACAGGTATAAAAATATAGTCAACCACACAGGGGGTTTTCTCCTATTCACAGGGAGAAAATCTTTTTGCAGTCTGAACCCTCCCAGCATTCTTCTGCAGATATTCTTCCACACATCCAGCATTCCCTGTGCCCAAGAGGGACAACTAACCATAAACATTACAAGAAGTCCTCTTTGGGATTAATTTCTGTGATAAATAAGGTGAGACGCCATTCTCTTTGCTGTAATAGAATCTTGGTTTGTGAAACAATACTTACAAAAACCATAGTCAAAGATATTACAATGTTTTCAGAGACTTTTTTTGTATCTGTGGCAGTCGTTTGACAAATTACCACCAACAGGCATCACAATTACACACACAACATTATAAATCCAATAATCATCATAATGAAAAGTAACACATCCATGATATCACAGGGATTTAATGGCCAGAGCTTTACTGGAGGTATGAAGGAACTCTGAGCTAAGACAGTCTGCAACAGCTGTACCATGTGCCTTCGTCCTGATAGTAACAACTGTTATTCACTGTAAAGAGCATGTGACATACTGTGCATGTATCTCTGAGGATTCCCATGACCTTTCCTCAGCACTCAGGTCTTACAAAGTACTGTCATACTGAGAGGCTGTTTACCTGCAACCTTGTTGGAGACATTAACAATCTTATTAAGCTTGTTCATATTTATTACAAACAGTGGCACATAACTGTTAAAACAGGAAATTAGAATACTCTTCTCAAATGAGCAATAGAAGAAAGTCGGTATTTGTCTTTCCACACCACCTGTCAAAACTTGTTGCTGAGATGTAATCGTTGTAACACCCTCCTGTAAGGGATGCCTGTATTTAAATCCCAAGACAGTTTTACATAAGTGACTATACTGGGGTGTACCCTGCCTCTCGCCCAGTGTCAGCTGGGATAGGCTCCAGAGCCCCGTTAGAATAAACAATGGATGGATGTGTTGCTGTTGAGAGACAAAATGTTGTGAGTGTCCTGGTACAAGGGTTGATCCTGAGATGCGTTTAGTTTGCATTAGTTTGGTTTGGATGTGGCTGTTGCACCAAAATGCATTACAGTAAACAGACTTGCATGAAGAGTGTTAAAGATTTATTACATACACTTGTCTTTGCCATCAGTAACCAAAGGTATCAACTAGTACCTTATTAATAATGAATATAACTTTAAAATCCCAATTAAATCTCAGACACACTTTTTAGACAATATTTAAAATACAAAAGCAATTTATTTTAATGGAATTGTGAAATCATCAGATTCGGTGGCGGAGGTAAAGTAAATCTTTATCAATATTTAGTGCCATGTTTGGCATTTGTGTATAATATTCAATTTGTAGCCAAAGCTTTGTTAAACAAATCGTTGTGATATGTCACATGTGTCAGACAGTTATGAGATGTGTTGATGGTTCTCTGAACAAACTATGTTGTCCAGTTAGCGCCCAAATTAACTAAATTGCTAATTGACAGCTCTGAAGATTGATTAGTGCTAGCATGCTATCCATTAGCGTACTAGTTACCCTACAGGACTTCACCAGCTAGCTCTACTGAAAGTGCGAGTAGTCGGCACATCATCAAGTTTCTAGAATACTTTGTGAAGTTCACTTGTTTTATTGTGGTAACTATGGCTTGGCATTTAAAAATAAAATAACCAAAACAACCAGCAATGAGAAACTGAACAGCTTCATCAGTCTGCTGTCAGTGGCGGCCCATTACATCATTTCAGTGTATATTCACTGTTTGGTGGGATCTGCATGCTCATCAATATCACAAATGGAGTTGAGGCGGTCCCTTCTCACTCCCTGCTTTCAAGTTCTTCAATGCTATGTTAATGCAGACTGTGCATTCACTCAGATCTTGCTTTCTATTGGCTTGCCTGCTGCAATTTGCAGCTAATGGTCCAACACCCCCCCACTCCAACCTCCCCTCTTACCCTCACCCACCCCACCCCCATTCCCCTCTCCTACTCTCTCTTTCAGTCACTCTCTCTCTCATTCCAGCCTTTAGGCGTCCTGTTTCAGCTCCTTCGTTTTCAGTCACAATGCTGTGGAGAGGGTGAATGAGTGGGGGGCATTTAGAAGAGCAGTAGGTGGGAGTGGAGTCTGACCGCAGAGGGTCTACTGTTTAAGAGAAAGGGACTTCTCTTTTTCACTCTCTCTCTCTCTCCGTCGCACTCCATCTCTCTCTCTCTCTCTCTCTCTCGCCCCGTACCCCTCTCTTTCTCCTCATTGGCTGCACATCAGCCAGCTCTCTAGGTAGACTCGAGTAAACACTCTAAGAGAACAGAGAGGAGAGGGAAGATGACAGAGCTGTCAGCACTCTGAGAGATACAGACTGGTGAGAACACTTGTCAGGGCTGACTGATAAGGCTCTTCAACGCTGCCTCTGCTTTGGTTTTTCTAGTCTCTGTGTGTGAGGTAAGTCACCTTCTTTACCTGCGTGGAGCTGGTGTGTTTGAATGGGAGCGGAATGAATGGACCGATGGCTTTATGCCATAAAGATTGAGAAAACTGAATTGCAGAGCTTGACAAGTTCATAACCTCAACTACATTCTCTCAGCTTTACCCCCACTTTTATAAATGCTGATGTTAAAACTTTCAGGAGGAATTATTTTATGTTTTAGTCATTTTAATGAAATACACTGAAGGGCTCCAGCTAATGATTATGTCCGTTATTTATTTTGTCTAAAAATACCAAAAAAGTGAAAAATTACAAAAGCAAGTTCAGAGAATGATGGTCTGATGAAATCACTGGTTTTGGCTAACCCTCCTCCAAATGTTGAGTTTACAATATAAACCTGAAAAGGATGCTAACCCTCCAGTATGAAAAGCTAAAACCCACCAGCTTTGACAAGTTTGCTTGATAAATGATTCATGTTATTAACTGATTATTAACATAGCTGTCAATTAACTGGCTGTGTTCATGGCTAGTATATTATTAGTGACCATGCTACTGTACATTGAATGCAATATTCTCTCCTCCAGTGAACAACGTGGGTGATGTTAGTAATAAAAAGATTATTTCCAGTCACCACAGCAGCTTCTGTAATTCATCCTCATGGTTTACAAGTGAAGAGACTGGCTTAATTTTGCTCTTTACTGCATGTACCTGGATGGCAATTATGTTTTATTGTGAAAGTTTTTCCTCTTGCTGGCTATCTTCTATTTATTACCAGCGCAGTTAAAATAGTTATGTCTCCAGAGATGGAAGTCTGTGATGATGTGCTGAATTATTCTGCTTGCATTAGGGCTGATGCTGAATTGTGGTCTGATGGGATAGCAGAGGAGAAATGGGAAGGGTTAGTGTGTCCATACTGTATGTGTGTGAGTGTGTGCTGCTTGCCGGAGTAAGTCCAGCTGTACACTTTATGGTTGCCAGCAGACAGTAGGCTCATGTAACCCAAGAGACAGACAGCTGCTCTGTGTCGGATGCTGCTGGTTATGCTCCTCTCCTAGATCTCCAGCATACACACTGCGGGCTGTAAACTGGCACCCTCACACACACACAGTCATACCCACACACACATTGACTGTGCTTCCCAGGCTCTCCAGGTCAGCTTCACTTGAGTGTCAGTTGTGTTCCACGAGGAGCTGGCAGAGAGAGAAACAGACAATATGAAGGAGAAGATGTTTGACAGATTAATAAATGAACAACTATTCACTGGTATACATCATTTCAGGACTGCTGCCAATTGATTTAATTGTTATTGCCCATCACTTTGTTTGGTTTTGGCCTGATAATTTGGAAAAAGTTCAATGAGCCTAAGTAAATAGTAGCCTTTGTGGTCACAGGCTGGACTGAATGTGAATGTGAGTGTGAAAGAGTCATAACTAACATTACTGAGTCGTGAACTGACTCAGGAGTATGGGACTCAGCAATAGACCACCTGCTAACATTAACAAGCATCAGCCGCCTTAATACTAGTAATACCAGAACAAGTAATACTACTTACCACCTATGATTTCATCTTTTCATTTGTAAGAAAATAAAAGTGCTATATACTATATAAAAAGACAGTCGTGCTTTCAGGTTTCAGCCTCCAGTGCTACTCTTGAATAAAATTGCATTTACACCACAGTGTGAATCGCAAAGACTCCACTGGAGGTTAATAAAATTCTTTAATGTGGGTTAGCAGTTCTTCAAGATAGGGTTCAGAAGGACTGATTGTAGAAGTCACAGAGTGACACTGTATACCCCTGGAGCTGTTTGAGAAAAATCATATCCTCCTGGTGGCTGATCATGGAGCCTTGATGAGCCTTGATGTACATCTTAGTGTAAAACGTTTGAAGGGAGGGAGGAGAAAGGTGAGTGACTCACTGAGGAGAAAGTGTGTGTGTGTGTGTAGACATAGGCAGTGGGCTGTAGTGGAGGAGACCCACAGGATACCAGGGTAGTGTCTGCTGGATGGTAACCATGTACGATGAGGAGAGGGAGACACAGTGAACTAGCCTGGCTCAGGTTCACTACACATGTGACCGTCCATCTGAAATATCTTTTGGGAAATCTTGGTCTAATTTTAATTTATTTTCACAATTTAAAGTTTTATAGACATGTCAAGCATAAGTTTTGCTCATATGACTAACTCTGCATAACAGGCATGCTATCTGATCGTAGGTAGCAGTGCAGGCTCGGTGAATTAATGTTTCATGATGCTTTGGTTATGCGTACAAGTAGCCACTGACGGTGACACTCAGCATAATGAGTGGGAAACCGGCCTTTGTTTGGACAGCTGTTAGCTCCCAATGCCCTACAAGGCTCTTTGAGAGGGTGACTGTCTTTAACCCCACTTAACTCCTCCACTGGTGATGGAGCACAAACAATAATCATGGGTGTTCATGATGACCCAAGCTGGGCATGACTCAGGAGAGATGCAGACATGATCTGTTTGGACTAAATCAGCATCTTCTTTATTTCAGGCTGATTCAGACACCCATTGGCGCCTCCTCTTCTGCCCTGCCCGTTGCTCCTCTTCTTAAACATTGTCACCGGTTTATGGTGAAATGTGTTGCTGGCTCTAGATGCTGTGATGTTCACTGAGATTTAGACAGGTTTGACATAATTTATGGGTACATCTTTGAATAATTTCATCTGGACTGTTCTGTCCAGCGGACATGAACACCTGTGCTCCAGATGGTTCTCAGTATGTGAGTGTAGTAAACGCAGTGACATACACCACATTATTATCATTTTTGCCAGGCAGTTGCTTGGGATACTGCATCTGCTATATCCTTGCCAGAAGGGTATCAATCATTTTTGGGAATCACTAAGTTTATATAAAACTATGTCACTTTTTACATATTTAGTTTCTGAATTAAATTATTCTTGTCTTAAATTCAGCTTATAGTACACCTTCTTTCCTCCATTGGTTTTGTGTTTAAATAAATGTTTGTAAGGCTCGCAATTCGCAGCTCTGAGTGCATTTTCCCCACAAAAATCACCACAGTCTTTTCCTGTGTCTCAGTCCACCCCAGTCAGATTAGTCATTAGCACAGGACAAAGACCCCCCTCAAAGAAATCCACTGTTTTAGCATCCCAGATGGTTTTTAATCCTCCTTTGATGATAATGTGTGACAGGAAAGGAGTGGAAGTTTTGGAGCTGTGGGATCCTGGATGCCTTTGTTTCGCCCAGCCCTCCAGTGGGTCAGCCAATAGATGAGCACATGTGGTAGACACTTCGCTCTGACACTTTGCCTCCACTGGTGACCTTGCATATTGTATATGGTGTGAGCTATAATGTTCTTGGAACAAGATGGGGACTCTTTGAGAGGGGCAAAACAATTCAAACTGGGGAAAATGGCTAAAAATGGGGAAGCCAATGAAGTGCCAGCCATGGCACCGGGGTCATTAGACTTATACAAGTGTATGAATGGAAGGCACTCTCAATTTGGACACACAACATGCTTCAGGCTTTCAACGCAGACAAGGACAAACAGATGTCTGGGTATCACAGCCAACATGCTTGCTTCATTTTTAGTTGAGAGAAAAATCCTTTCCATTCACTTAGAATGGAATCAACCAATAAACCTCCAGTATATAGTGGTGAAATATGCAGTCTTCGAAAGGCCTTGAAAAGGGTCACTAGGTATGTTTGTTAGAAGTATCATTCAGTCTTTAGGTAAGTCTTTCTGAAAGATTTCCATACTAAGTTAAACCCAATGTTGGAAGTGACAGTCATGCAAAATAAGTCACCTAAAGCTACTTATGAGAGTGCAAGGAGATTGTGATCTCACCTTGCAGCTGACTTAGTATCTGAGAGGCAAGGTGTTAGTTACGAGCCCCAGAAGTCGACATCAGTAGGCCTACCTCGGTGTAACATTACAACACAGGCAGCAGCCAGGTACAAGCCTGATTTTATAGTAATTGCAGAGCAGTGTAAAGGCAGTCGAGAGGGGGTAGACTGGAGACCTATGCAATTACAAGGGTTTGAAGAAAACAGCAGGTGGATGTGATGCAAGGGCTGCATATGAGGCTGCCAAGACTCCACACCACACAGGGGTTAGGCTAATAAACAGTATGTCACCAGCACCCAGCATGTTAAAAAAGCTCATGAACAATGACTAGCATCCAACCTCTCCATCTGGACCCAGTGAGAACAGCAGAACAAGATGGAGGCACCACAGGGGACGAGACATAAAGAATATTGATGGGCCTCACAGAGAGACATAGGTCAAATCACAAACTCACAAATTCAAACTGAATTGAGATTTGTCTGTCTGCTGTATGACTGGCCCAGTGCACACTCTTGTTTGCCCAACATTTGTTTTCTCCATATCTTAGTGTCAAAGTCGGAAATTGGGTTTGGTTGAAGAAATAGACTTTATTGGGGCGGTATCAATCAGACATGTCAGCTCTGGCTCCAAATCACTGGCGGGTCCCTTGGCAGAGAGCTCTCTCACAGTATCCAGATTAGTGTTTCTGCCGGTATCTCAGACCCAGCCTCCCCATCCGCCTTATCAGCAATGAACACACTAACCCCCACCACTCCCCCGCTATCTGTGTCATCAGATCCACTGGGGTCACATTGGAGAGCCAGTGAGCGCAGCCTTGGTTTGATGAAACCAGTCTTCTTTTCATCTATCAAAAACGGTGTATTTCCCATTTAATTTCTATTTTGCAAGTCAAATTATTATAATTTTTTAACCATGTGGGAAATAATAACAGAGGGAGCTGGAGGGAAATTACTGATATGCCACTGATTTCAGTGCCTTCAGTCAAATTTGTTTGGTGAGTAGGGATAGAAAGATTTTATTGTCTAAAGGGAAAGAACTGTGGAAAACCTTGGTCGGAGGTTAAATAGAATAGCTGTATGTATATCTACTGTAATTGTATATTGTTGCATGCATTTACACTCATCAGCAAAACCATACTTTCCCTGGCTATCCTAAAGTGTCATCGGGACCTTAGTAAAATAATCCTC